CAGCACTGCTGCCACTTTTGACTGCAGGAGTCAGTGACTAAAGCAGGGCTGAGGGCTGGCTTTATTTGTCTCAAAAACAAATAGGTCTACTGTTACACAAGAAATATAATGCAATTTTTAAATGATGTATCAAAGCACAAATTTTGTCATTTAGATCATTCCATCAACCAACTTCGTCAGATTACAAATTACATTTCCTGGTGGTGAAATGGGCAGATCTTCCTTTTCCTGTTTTTGCTGGTTAGAACAACCGCTATTGTGACCAGATTCTATAAGCTGTAGCTAGGCAGTATTGTGACACAGAAAAAAATGGTCTCATTTATCATATATTAATATATACTTACAACATATGCTACCACAATTACTTTTATTATTAGTATTATTATATTATTACTAAAATTAGTGTTATTATATCTATTATAATTACTGTCTGCCCTGCATCTCTCTCTGGCTCTGTCTCTCTCAGTCTCTCTCTGTCTCAATTTCTCTCTCTGTCTCTCTTTATGTATAATTTTGTCAAATGGATTACTGTAATTTATTATGTTGATTTGTTCTGTACATCTATTGCACATCTGTCAGTCCTGGAAGAGGGATCCCTCCTCAGTTGCTCCTCCTGAGGTTTCTACCATTTTTTCCCCCCATTAAAGGGGTTTTGAGTTTTTCCTTATCCACTGTGAAGGTCCAAAGGACAGAGGGATGTCACATACTGTAAAGCTCTCTGAGGCAAATTGTGATTTGTGGTATTAGGCTATATAAATAAAATTGAATTGAAATTGAAATTGTAAAAAATAAAACTTCATCAAAACCACTGGAAATGCACTCTAAAGAAAGGCACTTGAGGCTAGCAATATCATATGCAAAAAGAGTATATTTAAGCTCAAAAACACTGACAAGAAATAAACCCGAGTCAGTTCTGGAAACAGACTTTAGCTAGTCAAGTATTATATCGTCTTATATCATCTTAAATTCCCTTAGAAAGCTCCCCCTTCAACAACACCTTCCCCAAGTCTCTTCTTCAAGTTTAAAAATCCTGTAATCCTGAAGTTTAACTGTAGGCTTGTAAATACTGGACTCATGTGATGATGATTTCTCTTTTTCAAACATATATCAGCTAAAGGAATGACCTAATGGTGTCAGGTAACTGTCTCTGTTAAAGCCTGAGTACAGCTGGACCCAAAAAGACTGGTGACTCCCGAGAAAGTTCAAAACAGGAGGGTGCAGGGGGCTGTCAACCACAGGTTTGATGAGAGAAACATATACCGTGTACCGTGAGTGCAGCGGGGAGTTTCAGTCGGACGGCACTGGGGTTCACTATGCGTTCTATGGTGTAGGGACCAATGTACTTAGGAGTAGGAACTAGGACTAGGACTTAGGAATGTACTGAAATCCATCTGGAGAGGGAGATCTCATGAAGAGAGCCAAACTTGTTGGCCCACTTGGTAATCTGGAGCAGGTGTCCGGTGGCGATTGGCGACCCGCTGGTTCCGGGCTGATGTCCTTTCAAAATCAGCGAAGGCTTCCCACCAGACCCGGTGTGCTCGGTGGAAATGGGCTTGGACTGATGGAACCACCACTTCAGTCTCCTGGCTGGGAAACAGAGGGGGTTGGAAGCATGGAGGAATGTCTCCACTGGAGGACTGGACATCTTGCGGACGGTGGCATGTATAATCGACCCGGGGGACATCCTTCTGGATCTGTGTATTCCTGGTGGGCCTCCTGGACAAGTTGTTCCACCTCCCACCTGGCAGCTCTGATCACACAGGATGAGGGTAAGACGGTCTCAGTTGTGGCTCTCTTCCCTTGGAGCAAACTGCCGGGAGATTGCGTTAGGCTTGATGTTTTGGGAGCCCGGTCGGAAGGTTAGGGTGATGTTAAATCTCCCCACGAACAGGGGCCACCAAGGCGGGAGTTCAGCCTCTGGGCTGAACGGAGGTATGACAAGTTTTTGTGATCAGTCCAGATGATGAAGGGATGGGAGGGTCCTTCCAACCAGTGCCACCACTCTTAGAGTGCCATAACCACAACCAGCAACTCTCAGTTCGCCACGTCGTAGTTTCTCTCAGCTTGGGTCAGGCGGCGGGAAAAGAACGCACAGGGGTGGAGTTTCTTGTCCGCAGGCGAGAATTGGGAGAGGACGGCCCCCGCTCCTGAGTCTGAGGCATCCACCTCAACAACAAACTGCAATTCAGAATCTGGGTGGACCAAAACAGGTGCATTAACAAACCTTGTTTTCAGTTTATCAAATGCTGCCTCGACAGCAGGTGACCATTCAAAGGATCTCTTTACTGAGGTTAACTGGGTGAGGGGAGCAGCTATGCGACTGTAGTCACGAACAAACCTTCTATAGAGGTTAGCAAAACCTAGGGACCTCTGTAGTTGTAGTTTTTCTTGTCGCCGGAACTGGCCACTCTGTGACTGCTTTGACCTTCTCTGGGTCTGGCTTCAACTGCCCCTTCTCAACCACAAAACCTAGGAAAGATACTGTTGAAACATGAAATTCACATTTTCTGCCTTCACATACAGTCTGTTTTCAAGGAGTCTTTGCAAAATTAGCCTTGCTAGTTCTTCAAAACGTTTTGAGAAAATCAAGCTATCATCCAAATATACAAAAACAAATCTTTTTAGCATGTCTCTTAGTGTGTTGTTTACAAACGCTTGAAAAACAGCAGGAGCGTTAGTCAGACCAAAAGGCGTCACAAAATACCCAGGTGTGTGTTAAAGGGTTTTCCACTCATCACCTTCACAGATCCTGACTAAGTGGTAGGCGTTTCTTAAGTCCAGTTTGGAGAACATGGTATCGTCGTGGAGTGGAGTGAAGGCTAAGTCAGCGAGGGGAGAGGGTATTTAATTTTGACAGTGATGTCGTAAACCCCAGTGTAATCTATACAGGGTCATAATGTCTTGTCTTTCTTTTCAACAAAGAAAAACACAGCTCCTAAGAGAGAAGAAGAGGGTCAGATGAGGCCTGTGGCAAGGGAATCAGTGATGTTTGTCTCCATAGCTTCTTTTTCAGGTATTGAGAGGTTATAAAGTCCTCTGGTAGGGAGCGATGAACCTGGAGCAAGTCTATGGAGCAGTCATAGTGTTGGTGTGGTGGTAGCGAAAGGGGTCTGTCTCTTTTACAGATCAAGATATTCTCTGGGGACATTAATCAGGTCAATGTTCTCAGGTGGCACAGGTGTTCAGGGAGTTTGTGTTGGAACAGCTGAAAACAGGCAATGTTGATGGCAGTGATCACTCCAGTTGTGGTTATTATTTGTAGATTAGTCTATGTGACGACTGTGAATTTTTAACTCCCACTATGGGAGTTAAGGGAGATGAAATGACAAAAAGTTCTAGATGTTCATGGTGGTTGCCAGACAAGGTGAGTTTCAGGGGGTGAGTCTTGTGTGTTACACGCTCGATTAATTTGCCATCTATGGCCTGAACTGTCTTTGGGTCACAAGTTCATACACAGGGAGTTCATGGAGTTTTACTTATTCAGAGTCAATGAAATTGTCATCTGCTCCTGAGTCAATCAATACCTGGACGGGCAGGTATTGGCTCAAGCAGCATCTCCCTGCCTGCTGATGAGCCTGGCCTTTTGGCACATCTGGACAATGGGCGAGGTAATGACCTTTCTGACCACAGTAGATGCAGAGACGGTTCCTCAGTCATCGCTGTGTTTCCTAGGGGGACAGCTTGGCCCGGCCCAGCTGCATAGATTCATCGGGGACCGCCGGAGTCAAATGAGCGGTGTCCGATCCGGTAACGCTGGAGCTTGGAGTCGATGGCATGGCGATGGGTCCCCTTAAGCCGGCAGAGGGGGAGGTTATGGGATGGGACCTCTGCCAAAGGGCTCTTTCCCTGCGTCGTTCCCTCAGCCTGTTGTCTAGTCTAATAGCTAAGTTAATTAGCTCCTCCAGATTAGTGGTGTCATACCGAGCAGCTAACTCGTCTTTTATCTCCTCTGACAGATCTTTAAGGAAAACCCCCTGGAGGGCAGAATCATTCCATCCACTTTCAACTGCTAATATGCGGAATTCTAAAGCAAACTGAGACACAGGTTGAGAACCTTGTTTTAGTCGGAGAAACTGACTTGTGGCTTCTCTCCCTTTAACGGGATGATCAAAAAGTTTTCTTTTCTCTTGTGTGAATTGAGTGTAGTCAAAGCATAACCTCGGGGTGTGGGTGGAGATAGCTACTGGACAATTTTTACTTCAACTTTTTAAAAGCCTTTACTTCACACAAAATGGATATAATTCAAACATAGTATTTAAACATTTATCTTAACACAGGATTCAATGTCTTTAGTGATTGGACAGCTCTCAGAATTATATGTTAAGAAAAAAATAATAACATTCAGACTGTTGTTTTGCTCTAAGATAATGCTTTTTGGTTGTTTTACTTAAATAACTCGCTTTTTTTCAAACCATTTGGTTTTCGCCTATTTTTAACCTTACATGAAAAAAAAGCCTTTAAGGACAATGCATAATGGACTAACCAATGCATTTGGCAAATACTATCTCAGGTAACGCTGGTTAACTGGTTAAAATTCCCCAAATCAAATAAAGACATCCAGGACCAGATTCCCCACAGACTGGGTGCACTAATCATAACCCGTTACCTAAGAAAATAATGTTGCAAATTGATAATGTGCTCTTTGGGTGTAGAAGTAATGCTAGGTTACTAGAAATAACACTAGGTTACTACTGTACCTACTAGTAAGCTGGTCGGACAGACATGCTAATCCTTGCAGATCATGCTACAGCTGATCCCATTTTCATTTCATTTCTTTTAAATTATTTTAGTTTTAGAAAAGCGATAAAAGAAGACACCTCTCTCCAAACACTTTAAAGTTTTTTGTTGACAAGGTTGGGGTTTAGTAAATGGTTAATTCCCTGGGAGAGTGTTGGTGTTTGTAATAAAGTCACTACTAACTCTAGTGCAAGGTTGTTTTGGAAACAGTGAAGTGACTTTCATCAAAGTGGTAATTGTGAACACTGCCTGTTTCCTCACAGGTTTAGTATTGATGAAGGACGGACGTGGAACATTCACAACTTCACCAGCACCTCTGTGTTTGTCGATGGACTCCTGAGCGAGCCAGGAGATGAGACCCTGGTTATGACGTAAGTGAAATCACAATTTCAAAAGGAAAAGTGTTCAATTTCAGGACTGCTGTCAAACTAATAAAATAAAAGTCTAATTAGGTTCAGCTGAATTCATCATTATTGAGTCTTATTGAGTTTAAAGTCTGTAGACTTTAAATTTGCTCTATCTCTCATCAACAGATCTGAGTGATGGAGTGAATGTAACTGTTGATATGCCATATGGTTTATAAAGATGTTTCTCCATCCATGTATGACTCACTGTGGGAGTTCAAATGAGCCTTATGCATGTACAACCAGCTCCACAATTATCAAGATTATTGAGACAATGCATATGTTTGGCTTTTTAAATCATTTAACTCATAAGCATATTTCTTTGTATGTAGATACAGGTTTAGTTGTGAATATGTACAGAGTTTTATGCATCTAGCCACAGGTCAAGGGGAGCATTGGAGCAGCAGCAAAAGGCTTCTTTTAATGAAAAGTTTTGTGTCTACATGTTTATTCGACTACTACGATTTGTTGTAGCCTAGTTTATTTTGGTGTGATTGTGACTTTAAAATTATTATTATTACAAGCAATTTTCATGGACTGCTTTGGGCCATGTAAATCAGTACCTTTTGTCCCCCCTTCCTACGCCTTTAAGATGTATATCGTGGCCAACAGGCCTCCACCATCTACAAAGTTTCATCCTTTTAAAGGTGCAATGCTACAACCTCATTTGTTGCCTCATTTGTTTCTGTGTGAAATTTTTGACTCATCCCTCTGGTGTCATCTATTGGCTATTCCATCATATAAAAACACTGATGGAATTACTGTATGATGGCAGTGATGTTTACAATGTTTGAAACAGATGAATCTATTTTCGGGAGTATAAATAAGCTTTAAGAAGGTCAAACAGGGCAGAGCTGCCTGGGTATACAGTACATTCAAAGGAGCTCAAATTTCTCTCCCATGACAACAATTCCCTCTCGATCTGTTCAAGCAGGGTGCCTATTTTCATGATGCTACACAGTGCCTCATATCAAGAGTGTCTCATTTCTGATTTCCTGGAAAGATGTCCTCAATCTTCACCTCCAGAAGGTCTGATTACTATTACAGGAGAGGCTGATGGGAAAGGAGGCCTGTAGATACCCTCTGCCCTCCCTCCATGTCTCACTTTTCTCCAATCTGACATTTTATTTCTGTGGTTCTGCTCTGTATGTGTTCACTCTGTGTTTCTGTCTCATTTTCTTTTGTAGTCTCTTTGCTGGGCTCCACCAAGCTTAGACCAGTACATCTGTGCGCATTGTGCAGGTTCTTTTAGTACCCAGTCATGCACTCTTGATATGAGGCATTGTTAGATTGATTGCACATACTGTAGAGATAATTGGTAGTTGGCCAACACAACTTATTTATCAGAATTAAGCCCTTTGTCTGTCAGTCATTTAAGCCCTTTTAATCCAGAGTGGAATATCATAACAGTTATATTTGTTTTTGCATAGACATTTATAATCCCCATGAATCTGAAGGACTAGTGACTAGTCACTTTTCATCTAGCACAACTAATTGACTTAAATGTTCCATTTGTCCATGACTTCAGTGTATGGCAAAGATAGTCTACAAACAAATGTTGAATTCTAGTCCCATCTTTACTTTATAAATTCACTTCATAATTTCATAGTATTAACATGACAGCGTGCTAAATGTTACATACTTTACATTTTCACAAGCAAACTGTGAGCTTGTTTATTATGCTAACATACTAAAAAACAAATGTCTACTTTTAAACATCAGCATGTTAACATCTCTCTTAATAGGCCAAAGGTTACCATGTGAAAGAATAATTTCAGATTTTTTTCAAGTCCATCTTAAAACAATTCTTACATCCTATTAAATGTATTAAAAGAGTTATTGGTTGTTGTAATCATTTGTGCTCTGCAAAATGGGTGTGAAAGTCCACCGTTTCCAAAAAAAGCATTTTAAGTGGAAGCTAATATGAGCTTTCACTAGGAAGCTAACTTGAGCAGGTATTTCTGTCCCAGTAATCACAAGTGGGTTTGAAGCAGAGGTTCTCCTCCGTCCTCAAAACTACATGAAACTACTATCATAGCCTGCGACGGCTCTGCAAGGAAAGTGTTTGTACCACACCACTCACTTTGGCTTTCACGGATTGCTGAAGCCAAATCGAATGGCTTCAAATATACAAATATAACACAAATATAACTTAAAGGGATAGTGCACCCAAAAATGCAAATTCAGCCATTATCTACTCACCCATATGTTGAGGGAGGCTCAGGTGAAGTTTTAGAGTCCTCACATCCCTTGCGGAGATGGGGCTAGCAACAAAACTCCACCTAATGGAGGCTGGGCGCCCCAAATTAAAACGTCCAAAAAACACATAATTGAAACAACAGAATATCTCCATACTGCTCGTTCATAGTGATCCAAGTGTCCTGAAGCCCCGACATGAAAAGTTGTTTGGAAAAACATCATTTAAACTCTGTTTTTAGCCTCATTGTGGCCTGTAGCTCTAACTGCCTCTCTGTAGAGCCCGCTCACTTGTGTGCCCTTGCACAAGACCGTGAGACATCGGCACCGCCTTCATGTGTGTTCATGTGCTTTCGCTGGTCTCGTGCGCAAGCATGCACACGTGAGCTCGGTGTACACAGAAGCAGTTAGAGCTACAGGCTACAATGAGGCTAAAAACAGAGTTTTAAAGACATTTTTCCAAACAACTCTTTATGTCGGGGCTTCAGGACACTTGGATCACTACGCACGAGCAGTATGGAGATATTCTGTTGTTTCAAGAGTCAGCCCTGACAATTCAAAAATCAAAATTAGTAGCCTGAATATTGGCACCGAATGTTCACTATCAGCAACTTCTGAAATTGTTGATGTAAGCTTCAAGATTTCTATCTTTTAAGAAATATCATCTCTCCCTCTGTCTCTCTCCATCTTTTTTTTTTTTTTCCCAAATCTCTTCATCAGTACGCTGGAGTGAGACTTGTCACAGCATCTCAGACTCCAGGCCTTTGCCTGGAGATAAGGCCAGCTAATCTGCTGAGAAGGGCAAAGAGATGGCCACACACACACACACACACACACACACACACACACACACACAAGGAGGCAGTTACACACAAGGAGAGACTTGAAAACTCAGATTCACTCACAATTATCTGCCATGTGCCAAACACACACACACACACACACACACACACACACACACACACACACACACTCATAAATGTTTGAAATTCTTCCCTTGAGATGTGCCATCTCGTTTACAAGGAGTTGCTATAATGACTATATACAATAAATTGATAAATATTCAAAAAGATAAATAAATACAAGGCCAAGACAAAACATAAAAGAGACAGGAGACAGGACAAAACAAACAAAACAACAATGGATATCAAATACCGTTGCACATATGCAATATGCTAAATGATTTGATAATCACAATATACAAGGGATATCTCGAATTCAAATTCAAACCTGAACATGAAAATGTCTTTCATTGGTCATATATCAAGTATCAGTAACATTGAGAACATACAGTTGAGGAAAAAATGTTTAGAAATTGCAGCTGTAATTGTAAGAGTGTTATTGTCATGGACATGTGCAAATGACTCTGTAGTGGGAGGACAGCTTATTTTTGAATAGCTGAAAAGATGATATGGACCGAATGTTAACACGTAAATTGTTCCAATCACATGGCGCTTTAAACATAAAAGCTTTTTTACCTACTGACCTAGAGACTGCGGGAACAGAAAAAACAGCTGTGCCGAGTGTCTTAATTGATAATCGGAGGAGAAAGGAACCATAAATTCTCTGAGATAATAAGGGTAATCAAGATGAATACACTTAAAGACAAACTTAAGCCAATGGTGCTGTCTTCTTCTGCCAATTCAGAGCATCATACATTACGAAGTGATGAGTTGTGAAAGGACAGCCAAGAACAAATCTACAAAGTCTATTGTAAGATACAGTGAGAGAAAGAAGATTTGTGCTGGATGCTGCCTGATACACAACATCAGCATAGTCCAGAATTAGTAAAACAAGTTGCAAAGCAAGTGTCTTTTGAACAGTGAATGAAAAACAGTTCTTGGACCTGTAAAGAACACCAATAACATAGTTCATTTTCTTTACAATATGATTGATGTGACATTTAAATGAAAGTTCAGAGTCAAGCCACAGGCCCAGATACTTGGTGTGCTCAGCTTTTTGCAGAAGTCTACCATCAAAACATGTAATAACACAGGATGAATATGCTTTAGATTTGGATTTGATGTTATGCGGAGTACCAAAAATCATAGTGAGATTTAGTTTTTTTAAGAAGTAATTTATTATTTAAGAGCCATTGCTGTAAAGCATTAAAATCAGACTGTAGTGCGGATTCAGTTTGTCTTACATTAGTTCTGGACGTATATATTAGTGTATCATCTGCATAAAGCTGAACACGACAATCTGTACAAATGGAGGGAAGATCGTTAAGAAAAACTGAAAAAAGAAGTGGACCGAAAGTTGAACCTTGAGGCACACCACGTTGCTGGACTAACATATCCGATTTACATCCATTTATCATAACACATTGTTTTCTATTGTGGAGATAACAATTGAACCAAAGCAGAGCATCACGGGACAGACCAACCAAAAAAAGTTTGTCTAAGAGAAGGTAATGGTCAACAAGATCAAAGGCTTTGGTCAAATCAATGAAAATTGCCGCTGTTAGTTTACCATCATTTGATGCAGAAAAAATGTCATTTGTAACTTTCAGCAGAGCAGTAGTTGTGGAGTGATTTGAACGAAAACCAGATTGAAAAGTTGACAAGATGTTGTACTTATTGAGATAATGTGATAATTGATTATATATTAGTTTTTCAAAAACTTTAGCAACAGAACAAATAATTGAGATAGGTCTATAATTATTGGGTTCAAGAGGATCACCAGCTTTATGCAGGGGAGTGATGCATGAACATTTCCATATAGCAGGAATTTCATAAGTAGAGAGACATGTTATATAAATCACAAAGAGG